CCGATGTCACTCAGTGCTAAGGAACGTGGAGAAAGCTGTCGTCTCTAGCTCCCTTAAAATTGCCAGGACTTTCAAGGTCCTATCGGACTAAATTCTTCCAACGACGTTAGTTTTAAGTATACTGATAGGTTTTAAACATTTATCTCCATTTTACGGTCTCTGGGTATACCATTAAAGAACTCTCAGGTTTATTTGTGTCTGGACTTTTAAGGCCCTGTCGGACTAAGTTCCTTAAACGACGCTAGGTTCAAGCATTGTTTTAATAGGCTGATGGAACATTTATTTCCTTTTAGGGTCTAGGGGCACACAATTTTTTTTTTTAAAGTTTTGCTTTTATCTATGTAGTAGTGACAATTGAATAGGCTACGCCTTTGGCGCCCTATATCAATTTTATTTGCAATCTGAAGCATTCAGAAGTGTAAACTGCATAATAATAATGATAATAATAATAATGATAGTAATAATAAAAATGATAATTATAAGACTACAATAACCTTTATTCACTATAATCACTAAAAGTATTTACAAAAATTATGATAACATGCTTAAAAATCGAAAAAAATGCGTCAAAATGTCTAGTAAAAATCCCAGAAAAACTCATAGATACACACTTCTTATAATAATTATAATGATGATCATAATAATTATAATAATGATCATAATAATTATAATAATGATAATAATGGTAATAAAATCTAAATTTATCATGATACACCAATCAGCTGAAACCCATATATATCTCTAAATCTAGAAATCTATAACTACATCCAAATAAGAGAATAAAAGAAAAATCAAATCTATGTGGATTTAAAACTAAGTCTATTACCGCTTTCCAAAAATCCATTCACTATATTATTTGACATACACTAATAACGTGTCTCGTTTTGTTAACTAAATAAACGTTGTAATTAAATAGTATTCATGTCTTTTTTTCGGTCAGCAATACAATGCTTACCATACTGTATATATGTAACAAGTGCTGTAATGCAGTGTTAGTTGAGCTGTATTTTGTTCGAAACTTTAAAACAAAGAAACTGTGTACATTTACAAACTGTATTGTTCTAGCTATGTAAACTAAACGATGTTAGTGGTCTACCTATAAACTATATTGTACTGTAAGTATTGTGCCGTACATAAATAAATATAAAACATAAAATAGTTATACATACTAATAATAAGAGCAATTATGCTACTTCATGTCTAAATCTAAAAAAAATACTTAAAAATCTTAATCTTAAAACCGAAGAAGGAGCTGAGTTCTCCTATTTAACTCTTTTGAGAAATCACTCCAGTCTTTCGCAGAAGCATATTCGAACGAAGACTGGTCCCATTGCTGATGACATGGTTTCCCCTAAATCCAATACAGTGATATCTCTTAAAGATTTTTTATGTACTTCTGCACGCTAAACTAAATAATTCCTTAACTGATTCGGACAATTTGTATTATGAACAGTTTTAAAAACTAATCAAAGTCTTAAGAAACGACGTCGATTTCTTAATCATAAAACACCTAACTTACTGCGCATGTCCTTAGTACAAGATTTACGATGAACTGATAAAATAATACGCATTGCTTGGTTTTGGAGGCGTTTTTTTTTTTTTTTTTTTTTTTTTAAAAATCACTGTCACTTTATTGTAATCACTTAGCATAGTGACGCACGTTCTAAACGCGGAGAATTCTGCTTACCACAATCTCCCCAAGCTATACACTCATTATCAAATATAGAAAGAATAGTCTGTTTATATATTCTTAATAAGATATTTTTGCTTAAGTAAGATGGGATTTTACTGAGAATTTTAGGGTTAGGATAACTTTTAAAGAGACATTTGAGAACTGTGGAAATTCCAACTTAAGCGATTATCACTGTTCAGTCCTAAGTACTTGAAATGTATTGCATATTAGGCCATTCAGAGTAAACCAGCAACTGGTTGCCGGATCTCAGGTCTCTGTTGACTTTTTCCTCAGCTGTGTCGATATTCTCTGTATTTGCACGGACTTTGAACTTTTTGAACTTTATTTTTTATTTAGACACGGTAAATCTATCAGATAAAATAATAATATTATTACAATCTATTATTACAATTACAATCTACTTTAATTTATGTAAACATGATCTAAAATTTAAAAGTGAAATAGAAAAAAATAAAGAAATTCTGCTTTACATAGATGCCGTGTGCGTTTTGTCAATTCAGACGAAGAAATTGCGACAACCATTTCGAAAGGATTGAAGTGATTTTGCTTGCCGCAATTCAGGGGACAAGCTATTCCAGATAACCGCACCGTTATAGCTAAAGCTATTTTTCAGGAAATTGGTGCGGGGCAATGGAACAGCTAGTTTGTTTTCAGAGTTCCTTAGATTATATGGAGGATCATATTAAGTGAAAAGAGAACCAAGATAGTCGGGCGCAAGACCATGTATAGATTTATAGACCATGGTGGCCACTTGTATTTGTCGCTGAGTATCTAACCGTCTCCAGTTAAGTTGCACAAAAAGAGGATCAGCGCTTGTGTCATAACTGGAGAAGGTCAGAATACGGGCAGCCCGGTTTTGCAACTTTTGGAGCTTATTCGAAAGACCCTTGTTACAATGCCCCCAGACCTCGCTGCAGTAATTAAAGTACGGTTGAACTAAGACATTGAAAACGGACTCAAGCGTGGTTCGATTAACAAAAGGCCTACAACGTTTAATTGCTCCAATGCCCGATGCGATTTTCTTGGCTATTTTTTCAATGTGCATATTCCATGAAAGGTTTTCGTC